GGGGTAGGGTAACCAGTCTGGACTGCCTTGCAGAGGTCCCCCTTGCAGAGGCAGGTAGATGGGGATGTCGGTGGGAGCGTGCAGTGGCACGCAGCATCCCATGATGATCTCCCCTAGGCGGGACACGGTGCTTGGACCCGGTCGGACAGTGACCACAGAGGGACTCATGCATCTCAAATTCCCAGAGCGGGGGTGTGGATTTCCTGCACACCCAGCCCCTACCCATGGGGAAACTGAGGCAGCAGGGTGGAGCGAGGCGGGACGGGACCCTCCAGCCCCACAAGTGTCATGCCATCGCCTCCGACTTGACCTGACCCCCCGTTCCTCCTCCCCATAGGCTTCCCAGGGGAGCGGGGCCGACCATGGTGCCTTTAGCAAGGCGGCTGAGTTCTCGCGCCTGGGGGTGATCCCCCTCCCCACCCCACGGATACAAGCACCAAGCAAGCGAATGCTGTGGGCAACGTCGAGCCGAGCTAAAACTGAGCCTTTTCCAAGGGCACCGAAGACACAAAGGGTGAGCAGCGAACACCCCGGCCCCGCTTGCACCCACCTACCTTTGCACGTCTTCCTGTCGGGCTGGAGCATGAAGCCCATGGGGCAGCTGCAGTGCACGCCCGTGGCCGCGTCGTGACACTTGCTGTCGCAGCCCCCGTTGTTCACAGCACACGTCTCTGCACGGAGAGGGGAGAGAGCGGCTGGGGTGAGGGACCGGTGTTTAAAAGGCTGGAGGGGATCATGCCACCCAGATGTCCCCACGCCACCCAAATGTCCCCACGCCGCAGCCTGGGAGAGGCAGCGGGTGCAAACCTCCTTGCAGAGCCCACTGAAATCGCCCTTGGCTTTTCACGCAGCAGTAACGAGGTCACGGAGCCCCCAAATTAATAAACACCCTGGATACAGAGCACAAGGGCCGGATGGGGGCGGGGGTAAGGCATTAATGTTTGGTGATCCCGCAGCATCTTCCACCTCCGCAGACGACCTGGTGCTCATTGCCTTTCCCATCGCCCTGCCACGCACCCAGGTGCTGCTCCCCAGGGATTTCGGAGGTGAAATAAGGGTGCCTGTGATTCACCCCAGGTTGCAGGCAGCGCTAAGGCAGGAAAAAGCACCCAGATTTCCCGGTTCGCCATCCAAACCCTTGCACAACCCTCCCGCCTTCCAACAACCTGCTCTTATATACTGGGTATCTGCATTTAAGGTAGAGAGGGGAGTGGGGACAGCCCTCTCCCCTCATTAGAGGAGGCTTCATTAATTGGAGGCAGGGAGCAGAGCAGCGCCCAGCCGTCCCGGGGAGGATGGGGTCATGGACACAGACAGGGATGGGCAGGCAGAGCCACTGCCTGTTGCGAAACAGCCGACACTCGGGGCGCTGGGAAAAGCGGAGGTGGTTTGACAGAGGCTCTTTGCTCCCGAAACACGTCAGCTTTTCAGCTGATGGAGGGAAAAGCGGCTCTGTGGGATTAATCCTGCCGCGCTCAGCCCCCACGTTGGCATCGGGGACGCGTGTCCCCTGAAAACAATGTCTGGTGGAGTCCAGCTTTGGCAGCTCCAACGAGGAGGAACTGAATTCCCAAGTGACAAAGTCACAGCACTTGCTGTGCAAAACGCAGCCAGAGCCGGGTCTCGCTGGGGGTGCCCAGGCTGCGGCTCTCTGGGGATGCAGGTGCGTAGCCCCGTGCCACCACCGAGCCGCAAAGCCACGGGTGGCCCCGCGCCACCAGTCCCTAACTGTCACCCGCCGCTTGGGTACGCCGGCCGGTCCAGTGTCGCGGGCTAATTTGAGAGACGTTTGGTATAATTAGAACACACACACAGAGGCAGGCAGCATCAGTGGAAAAAAAAATCCAATTTGAAAAAAAATGCTAATTATTTCAGTATTATCAAAGTCAGCTGTTGCTGGTAGGACTAGAAGGGACACTAATTTAAATGAAGCATTTTCAGCTTGACAGCTTCCCTGTGAGATCAATCCTCAATTTCGGTCCTAACCACCAGAACAATGGTTTGAAGTGCAATAAGTTGTTCACAAAGGATAATAAAATATTCCTTTCAGAAGGCTGGTTGCTTGGATAAACAAGGCATTTGGGCTTCAAGGAACCCAAGATGAAAATGCGTTGAAGAAATTCCTTGGAAAGAGCAAATCCCAGGTTCTCCTGCTCTTTGTGAGCGACGCATGGGGTGGGAATGACTGAACCATCTAACCATTTGCCGCAGGGCGAGGGAGCTGGGATCGCTCTGTGCTCGTCTTGCCGCTGCTATTTTTATGGTGTCCCATAATAAGAGAACAAAAGGGACCATTTTATGAAATTAATAGCCAGCACAATTACAAAACTTAACGGCAAGGGAGGGATTTCTGCAGATACTATTCCTCCAGCCAGGTCCTTGCGCTGCACACAGCCTGGCTGTGCCGGGATCGTCCCCCCCCACGGCACCGGGGCGAAGAGTGCGGTGCAGGCAACACCACGCCGAAGGGAAGGGAAACTTTCTGGAAGCCTGATGAATTATTTAACGCCAGCCTTTGTTCCAGCAGCTGATGCAGAAGCAGCCCAGGGAGGATTGATTTAACAGGGTCACCTCTGAGATGAGATGATGGGCTTGGTGTGGGCTCTGCTTTCAGCAGGACCGAGGAGCCGGAGAAGCAGCTGCACTGGGGAAGGACAGGGCTCTCCGGGAAGCACGGTGCCCTGGACACGCTTCGCCGTGCTCACAGCCTCCTCCAGCACCGCAGCACCCACGTCCCCTCCCGGCCCCTTTGCACCTTTGGGAATTTTGGCCGAGATGTAAAGCAAGCCCTACCCACCATCCCATGCAGGATACGGCCGGTGCCCGGGGCGTGCATGGGGTGGGAGCTGAGCCAGCGCGGCTGGAGCACCACCGCAACCCCCTTTGCAAAGAGGGGATCGTGTCCTAGGCTTGCAAAAACCTTGGAGGGGGCTGCTGGGGTACCTGCGAGGCAGCGGAGGTCAGGCGGCACGGGGCCAGGCGCTGGAGCGGGGCCCTGGGAGAGCGGCATTGTTCGGCGGTGCCGGCAGCCCGGGGGCTGCTCCCAGCCTGGCGCAAGACAGCATGACTCACCCAACCACACAGGGCTTTGGCGAGGGCCTCCATCACTCGGGGTGGGAGAAGACAAAGCAGCTTGCGCGCACACACACTCTCTCTCTCTCTCTCTCTCTCTCTCTCTTTCCCACCCTCCTCCATCCCAGCTCCGGTCTCACTTCCCGACTGCCGTGCCATGGAAATCCTCACTCCTCACCCCTCTCGGCACCCTTCACTGCGCCGGCCGTCACCAGGGACCGACGGAGCCCCTGCCCGTGCCCCCGCAGCACCCTGCCCGCACATGCTCCGGCTTTGCCTCCACCTGCCGGGAAGCGGCAATCGCAGTGGGATTGCGATCCCACGAGCCTAAGGAGATAATTGCTCGGTAATCAGAGGGATTATAGCCAAGTTGGCTGGAGCGCGGTGACGGCGCGGGGCTGGGGCTCCCCCCTTCTCCCACCCCTGTGGGAAAGGCTCTGCAGAGCCCCCCGAAAGCCACGGTCGGTGCTCCCTGCCACTAGTGAGCTGCACACCCACAGCTCCTCCTGGATGTGCCAGGAGTTTGCATGCACCCAGCACATCCATGAACAAGATTCCCCACCGCAGACAAGTCGCTGCACCTTCAGACTGCCTCGGTTTCCTTGTTGGCGGAGCAGAGGCGTCGCCTTACCTTCATGAAGGGCTTAGAGACCCGACGGGGGTTGCAAAGAAATCCTCGGGGAAGCAGCTGAGGTGCCCAGCCCGATAAAAGGTCATTGCAGCTCTGCAATTTGCTGCAGCTCTGGGCTGGGTGCCTCTGAGCATGGTTAGCAGCTTTGCCGGGCCAAACCCTGGGACACCCTGAATGTCCCCGCATCCGCAAAGGGGACTGTACGCGACTGGGTGGGCTCCGGGAAGGGGTAGCTTTGGGAGTGCACAGCCACAGAGACGGGCACGAGCATCCCCCTCCCCATCACGCAGCCACCGGCAGCCCACCGCTAGCTCCTCTCCGGCTTGCTTGGCGGCGGGGGGGGGGGG